CTCTGTTGAAGGTTGAGATGATGATAACGTTTTTTTTTAATTTTAAGTTACGATATCTTTTAAACGCGATCATAGATTTGGTCTGCTCAACAGAATTAAACAATATTTTTTAGACATGGTAATGAAAGTTTTGTTTCAAAAAAGATCTAACAAAAATTCAAAAATTATTTTAAAAAAAATTCGCTTTTATAAAATTGATAATTTTTAAAAGTTTGAAGTTAGTTTCCATCTGATTTAAAGAGTACGAATTTTTCATCAGATCTCAGAGTTCTGAGATCGTAGAAATAAATTTTTAATCAACATAGTATTACCTTAAATGTGCAGAAATTCAAACAAAAATTTTTTTCACATTTTTCTTGCGAAAATTCCGTTTTAAGTATTCTTCAAGTCTGAAAAACATTTTTAATTTGGAGATTTTTTCTTGCATTTATGCACATTTTGGGCAAATACACGTCGATTCTCGAAAAAAATTTTCCATACGTTTTTATACCTTATTGTTGGTAGGCTTTTCGGATATTTAACGCAATATTGCTGTTTTAAATTTCCAAAGAAATATTAATTTGAAAAATTAAACCAATTGCGGGAAGCTTGAAGGATGGCCGCAGATTAAGTCGCTTCTTAGAACTATTTTTTTTTTCATTTATGATATCAGTTGAACAAGTAAACCGATTGTTATCTGCTTGTGGCATTCAATATAAATTTTAGGACAAAAGAATTAACTAGTATATGGAATTAATCAACAGAAGAGTAAAAAAGATATCGCGTGCCAAGGGTAAAAGGGCGTATAGCAAAGTATGCGCCCTTTTAGCTTTAGGAATTTGAAAATTTTATGACCTAAAGCTAAAAGGGCTTATATATTTTTTTTCTAAATATTTCATTAAAATGCTTACTTTTAGCTTAGAAATTAAAAAAAAAAACGATCGAGTTACACGAGAGAGGTATATTCTAAATAAACATACACTTTTTTAAAATTACAATTAAAAATATTTTCAAAAAATTGCTAAATATGCGTGATTATAGTGATTTATTTTTTATTTGAAAAATATTTCAATCTCATTAGTTTTTGATTAATTTCTTTATCTATTGCTTGTATAAAAAAAGTTTAAAATTATTATTTTTTCAATATTGTTTAAGTACTTAACAGCCGATCTCCTCTTTTTTTCACGTCGCACTCACTGTAAGGAACGGTGTTATCATTGTAGCACTCATAATTATAAAACTATTGGAGTTTTATGTTTTTTTTTAAACAAATGAGAATTTCGAAAAAAACGCTCTGCTATGAAATAAATAATTAAATAAAAAAGTTTGGAAAATCCAAAAGTGCACGCCTCATAATCTCATTTTTTAAAATAAAATATAGAAAGCAAAATAATAAAAAACAGAAAACACTGCTATGGTTTAGTGGCGCCATAACTCCAAGGTGAGGAAAAAAAATACTATAATAAAATGTATAGATAGAAATACAAAAAAATCCACAGTCATATATTAGTTTTTTATAAATAATAATTTAACGACAGTGAATTGAACGCTCATATTAACTAAGAAATTCTGTCGTGTGTTACTTTAGATAATTAAAAAAAAAATTATTCCGCTACGATCATTTTTTCGACCAATTTCCCTGCCACATACACCCATTCATACACGGACGTCCAAAAAAGATTATGTTTAATGTTATTATTTATTATGTTAAACAAAAAAAATTGTTATCAAAATATATTATATGTGCCTGAAAAATTATTTGACTTGACATAAGCGTACTCATTTTAATCTGTAAGTGCGATATAAATAATGTTCAGTGAACAGGCCCACTCAGTGAGCAATACGTCACTGTGGGCTCCCCAAATTTACAACACGCACCTGACAAGCGATCGTTCCCGCAATTTCTCACCCGCTTGCGCAAACCGCTTGACTGATCACGCCACATGTATCGAATTTTACCATTGGCTATCGATGTCGACATCAATAGAACGAATTTATTGATTGGCTATCGCTCTCGCTAGACATGCGCAG